TTCCCCCCTGTCAATTTCTTTCCCCCCTGTCAATTTCTTCCCCCTCCCGACAATTTCTTTCTTCCCCCTCCCCTACCTCTGTTGTAGCGTGGCCAAGCCCTGTATGTTGCGCGCGGGTACAGGGAGCTTTTGTTTCCTGTACACGGCCGGACTCAGTGTGCACTTCCTGTACCCTGCTCCCTGTACCCGCGGACCATACAGGGCTCGGCCACGCTACAGTGAGGGAGTGACAGGAGGGAGCGCTGAGCCCGTCCCGCCTGTCAGCCCCTCTCCTCATGCTGCGCCCTCATGGACGCACCAGCCCGGGCAAAGCTGCAGCCGCCTGAGGCTCTCTGCAGAGCGCTCGGGCGGCTGAAGCATGAGGGGGGGTGGTGCTCCTGGTGGCGCCCCTTCCCAAGGGGCTCCCTAGGTGGTTGCCTAGTCCGCCTAACAGGTAGCGCGGCCCAGGTTCAACGCAATTAAAATTGGGACACAGAGCAGGGGATTGTGGGATTAGCACAGCTGGCTTTGTGTTCTGTCATTTTATTCTCTTTCATAAGGAAGTGAGAGACCAGGAGAAGAGCTTAGCTTAAAACTATATGCATATTATTATAAAGGTATCATGCGTTTCTGTTTTTTTCATAGAATATGCTCATTGATAATTTTCACCAGACACTTAGTACCATATAAACAATTGCACCAAACACTCTAAAATACATAAACATTGTCTGGGATGTCTGGGTTGTTAAACACAAACTAACAAAAACAAACAAAACACTTAATAGAGTCAAAATATTGTTTTATATGCAGATATATACTGGAAATGGTGCAACATTTTCACATTTAAACTTCTGAATAATGATTTTTTTTTTTTTTAATTAAAGCAGCACTGTCACCCCCATATTAAAAAATAGTATTTCATGAAGATAGAATTTTTTAAATTCTTTATTTTTGCTGTGCAGGTGGGTACAAGAAATCAACAGGCACCACAACAGCATAGTGCAAGATATACAATGGTTAAACAATGGCATGAGAGTCTGCACAATTTTATATTTTTAGCAAGCTTGCCTAAATATTTGTATCGTTAGCATGAAGTTAAACGAAATACAGCAAGATAATTGATGCTTAACTTGTCTAATTTGGCATATGTGTGAGAACCAAAACAGTGAGCTTATTTTTGCCTTTAAAACAGGAGCAATGGTCAGCATCAAAAACTGATGTCTATAGGCTTAATTAAGTTTAACCACCAGGGGGCAGCAGAGCGTCGGACATACATGCAAGCTCAGACATTTTAATTGCTTTCTAACTGCAGGAAGAATCTACTATAAAGACACACATTAATATGGTAGATGAGATACTAAATTAAGAGGTACACCATAGTCTGTTATAGCTTTAGGCATATATGGTTAGAAGCCGCTTGATCCCTCCTGCATCTGTGCGTTTAGCTGGTTATTTCACTGTGTGGGGGCTTGACAGTCAGGAGTGGAGTGGAGCTTATTCCCCATTTTCGTTGTTCCCTTGTACTCAGGCAGGGTCAGAGTCCAGATAGAGTCCCCTTATATCCACTGGTGTTAATGAGAGGTGATGCCTCTGTTGGTGTGAGTGCTATAATGCTGAGTTGAGCTGTGCTTGGCTTGCTTGTGGAGTATATCCCTTATACAGGTATCCTGTGGGTGGAAGGAACACTCCGTCTGTCTGCTGTTGCTGTGGTACTTCCCCTTCACTTCGTCTCACAATGAGCGCGGCGGCCATCTTAGTTTTTCCCATGCGGTCCCCGGTCAGTCTTCCTGCCGCTTAGATGCCCTGAACGAGCACTGCGTCCCCGGTGGGGTCTGGGATAACCCCCCCGGCCCACGGGGGGAGGGGTAACGGGGCCCTTAGCAGGCGGCGCGAGGTCCTGCCGGACCAAGCACGGGAGATCGGCCGCTTCTCCCGCCAGGGCCTCACAGCAGGCCGCAATCCCCCTCGCCTACCAGACTGCATCGCCAGCGGAGCAGGGGCTGATACTTGCCCCGAAGGCTGTTGGTCGGGTCCCCTTTGCCCTCTCACGGCAGCTGAGGGGTTTCCAGGCAAGGGAGGGCATTTTTAAGCTGGTCCCTGCGATTTTAGCAGGGAGCCGAGGTGCTCCACGTCTACCCCGCTCGGCGGCCAGGCCCCGCCCCCGGAGATAGAATTTTTATGAAATATTCATATTGACTGTGTTGGAATGTCACTGAAAGAAATATACTGAGACAAACTCTCTGTATTTCTCCTCAGCTTGACTTTTCTTGACACAAGTCGGAGGGAATTGGCTGTGTCTGAGGAGGATCCCACAGTCTTGCGGGATTCCCCACAAACCTCAGTGCTGTACTTTCGCGCATGCTTCAGCGCCAGGAGTTGAAGAGGAGCAGCACGACCAAGAAGACGGCATCAGCGATGGACAGGTTCTAGCATGTAATATCCTATTCCTTCCCCATTCCCCAGCCAACGGACCACCAGCTGCAATGTCACCTTCGGGGAACTTTGCAAATTCTGAAAAAACTGTGACAGTGCCGCTTTAACCCCTTAAGGACCAAACTTCTGGAATAAAAGGGAATCATGACGTGTCACACATGTCATGTGTCCTTAAGGGGTTAAAAAGAATCTTACTATGTCAAACTATCAAGGCTGTGCAACTACTTCTATGCTGTTTGCATTCAGACCAGCAGAGGGTGCCAATGGGGATTTTAATATGAGCTTTCTAATTAGCTGTATTTATTGTATTCCAGGCTCTGATTGGCTGTACTGTGGAGATAGAAACATTAGATGAGCGGACGCTGAATATCCCCATTAACGATATCGTTCAGTAAGTAACAGATGTACACTTTATCTCTGCCCTTTAATACTGTATACTTGCGTTACTATTCTAGGTGGTTTTTGCGTTTGAAAAAAGAAATGTCTGCAGTTGCGCTCATTGATATTTGTTCACCAATCTAAGACAACTGCAAACAGCAATCTTGATTTCTATTAGACCTCGCACGATGATATAATGCCAGCTTTATCTGAGAGCAGGTGTGGCGTTAAAATTACTGCTGTATTCCATCATGTATTTCATTATAAGCATTGCTATTTAATGAGGCTTTATGCCCTAATACCAGAGCTCCACAGCAATAAAATTCACAGTAACGTACTCTGTGCATGAGTGTATCCCAGAGCTCCACAGCAATAAAATTCACATTAATGTAGACTGTGCATGATTGTATCACAGAGCTCCACTGCAATAAAACTTACTAGTGTGTATTGTGCGTGAGCATATCAGCTCCACAGCAGTAGACCTCACACTACTGTGGACTGTGTATGAAGTTATTACAGAGCTCCTTTTCCAATAACACTCACTATTGTGCACTGTGCATGAGGTTATCACAGAGCTCCATAGCAATAAAACTTACAATGAGCATTGTGCAAAAGTGTATCTCAGAGCTCCACAGCAATAAAACTCCCTAAATTCTGTGTGTGAGAGTATCAGTCCACAAAGAGACTTCCAAAGGCTTCCATAGTAAGATAGACTGAAAAAAGACCAAGTCCATTAAGTTCAGCGTTTTACACACCTCTATTAGTGGTGTAAAAAACACAATTTTAAGGGATTTTCTATTTCATCCAAAATAAGAAAAATCTTTCTTAGCCCTCAGGGTGACAGAAGTTACCTATCCCTAAAATGTCCTTATTGTGCTCTGTCCTCCAATAGTTATATTACAGGTGCCTAATGAAGTACTCCAAATATTCCCATTAGCGATTATCTGGGGGTAACAGTCTTCCTTGATGCCAGGAGTGGACACAGTGTATTAAATCTACCTGTATCTACCTTAAAGCTACAATTTTACTAAATCATTTTGTTACATTGTCCAAGTCCAACGCCGGTATTGTTGTTGGGGCGTTTCCATCCCAGTACCTATGGCTAATTATAAAATGTAGGCAAAATACTAACAGAGATATTGACTAAAGTACTCAAAGTCAATTCCAAAGACAGAAATACCCACGCTGGAACAATTCTCTTGGTTAGCTCTACTTTCAGATCGGCTACTCTGACCTTAAATCTTAAATTCACTTTTAATTCTCTCCGCAGTAAAGTGAGTGAGCTGGAGAGTTGTTCAGTTTGGTTAATAGTTTGCAGTTATTTGGTTTAGCTATTCTCAACAAATCCCACTTTGGTGAATAAGCTCCAAGTAGACTTTCCACCTGCCTGAAACATATTCCTAGCACAGAACATGTTAAGACGTTTCCAGATGACGGGAGATGGATACTTTTAGAATTGGGCTTTATACACATTGAATGCATCCAACTGATATTCTGTTATATTCAAAGCACCAAATCCCATCCTTTTCCTTGGCAGTCCGAAGTACAGCAAGGTGGTCCCAGGGGAAGGCATGCGACTTTCCAAGGACTACAACCAGAAAGGAGACCTCATCATCCAGTTTGATATCCAATTCCCAGAGCACCTCACCCCTCTGAAGAAACAGATGCTTCGTAAGGCGCTTCTATCATGAGATCTATGTCACCGTGATAAAGATTGGGATTTCTATGTTAAAACAAAAATATATACATATATCTTTTATACGACTTTGCCAAACTGTTTACAGTCATAAATTGAACACATCGACATACACTATATTTATATACACACAGACAGGTGCCTTTGGAGCCTCACACTTTTATTTTCCTCCTCCCCCCACCACATCCCATATGAATTCGGGGATAATTCTCTCTTCTTTTATCATGTGCTGCAGAATGTTGTTAAGGTAAGTACATCAGGTGTTCATATTATCTGCCTGCGTGCAGGGAAACTTTGGGCCAAGTACAAACACTTCCTAAGGGTTTTTTTGTTTTGTTTTTTTTAAATGGACTTTCTTCTAAAGGCTTGGTGAAAGTCCAGCCTTATAGCATTCTGAGTTTCATTATTTACATTTACTGCAAATATATATATATATATATATATATATATATATACACACACACACACACACACACACAGAGAGGACCTCCCTGACTGGTCTGGCTGTAATCATGTTCCAGAGATCCTGCAGGTGGCATGGCTGGTGTATGTACAAACAGCAAGTTGAAACCAGCCTTAGCCTTCATATACAGAAGCTTGGACTTTTCTCTTAGCCAGACGCACTGACCAATAGGGGGAGCACTGCTGTCCATGTCACTCACTGCCCTGAATGATTCATGGGGCATAGCAGGCTGTGACTATTACTAGATTTGTACATTAATACCTTTCAACTGGTATGAATCAAATTCCTCTTAATCTACTGCTGAATGAACCAATCCCAGACTGATTGATTTGTAGCAGCTGAAATGCATTCATGCACAGGTATAAAAAGAACAGTATAAAATGACTGATATGGGAGGATAAAATCATTGTTTAGATATCTAACTTTGTAACTGTCATTCAACAATGTGGATTAAAAGTTCACCTTATGTTCACACATTGTAAAAATTATGCTGGGAACACACATACATCACTGAGAAAATTAACCTGTTAATTTAAAAAAACATCTCTCAATTTTATATGTATTTACATCCTATAACAGGTGAGATGGTTCCGGTAACCTAGTAGTGTTTGTATATATTATCTATAAAAAAATTTTATATACAGATCTACCCAAAATTGGAAAGAAAAAAAAAAAAAACTTACATTTTAGTTATCCTTTTTTTCCCAGGGGGAGAGGGGCAAGAGGTTTGTTTATAATAAATAAATTAAAAAAAGCTTTAAAAACCTGCAGGTTTCTTCTCTGAGGCCTTTCCAAGCAGCCCCCTCCTTTTAACCCCACCCAGATTTTCTGTGGCTGTCCAATCACAGACTTTCCAAGCAGCCACCTCCTTTTAACCCCACCCAGACTTTCTGTGGCTGTCCAATCAGGCTTAATGAGAAGTACTTGCAAGGCTCGAGTTTAGCTCCAGTGAGACAACTGATGCAGGAAGTTAAAGGACGGTTGTCTGACAGCCAGGGGATGTAACAATGTTAATGTATAAGAATGAAATCTGCACTTTGTAAAAATGTAAAGCACTACAGCCAGGGCCGGACTGGCCCACCGGGATACCGGGAAATTTCCAGGTGGACTGTTGGCACCTGGGGCCGGGGAGAGGTAGTTGGCTGACCTGCAGGGGAACTGTGCTGGCGGTCGCAGGGGGAGCTGGCTGTTCTGTTTCTGCTCCCCCGCCCTTGTGCGCTATTTAATAAGACTGGGGCCGGAATATGACGTCATCTTCCGGCCCCGGTCTCATTAAGCTGTGCGCTGAGGAGCAGAGACAGGACAGCCAGCTCCCCCTGCGGCTGCCAGAAGAGCCAGCTCCCTGCAGCCGCCAGCACACCAATCTGTCTGCCCACAGGTTACAACAATTATGTGTGTCTGGGTGTGTCAAGGTGTGTGTGTCTGTGGGTGTTTTTAAAAAATAGTGTTTTTACTCTCCAACGTCGTGCTGGTCTCCCCTCAACTGGCCCTGCCTCTATGGCCGAGATCATCAAGCTTGATGATCTCAGCCAATCTGCGCTGATACAGGAAGCACCTCTAGTGTCTGTCACTAGAGGTGTCATTAGGAAGCAATGTAAACAATGCCTTTTCTCTGAAAAGTCAGTGTTTACATTGAAAGCCTATAGACACCAGAACCACTACATTAAGCTGTCTGCCTCCTAGTGAGTGCGCTTGTGTTTTTATGTCAATGAGCTTATGTATATCAGTGAGATTGTCTGTCTATGAGGCTGTGTGTCAATGAGCTTATGTATATCAGTGAGATTGTCTGCCTATGAGGCTGTGTGTCAATGAGCTTATGTATATCAGTGAGATTGTCTGTCTATGAGGCTGTGTGTCAATGAGCTTATGTATATCAGTGAGATTGTCTGTCTATGAGGCTGTGTGTCAATGAGCTTATGTATATCAGTGAGATTGTCTGTCTATGAGGCTGTGTGTCAATGAGTTTATGTATATCAGTGAGATTGTGTCTGTCTATGAGGCTGTGTGTCAGTGAGCTTATGTATATCAGTGAGATTGTGTCTGCCTATGAGGCTGTGTGTCAATGAGCTTATGTATATCAGTGAGATTGTCTGTCTATGAGGCTGTGTGTCAATGAGCTTATGTATATCAGTGAGATTGTGTCTGCCTATGAGGCTGTGTGTCAGTGAGCTTATGTATATCAGTGAGATTGTGTCTGCCTATGAGGCTGTGTGTCAGTGAGTTTATGTATATCAGTGAGATTGTGTCTGCCTATGAGGCTGTGTGTCAGTGAGCTTATGTATATCAGTGAGATTGTGTCTGCCTATGAGGCTGTGTGTCAGTGAGCTTATGTATATCAGTGAGATTGTGTCTGCCTATGAGGCTGTGTGTCAGTGAGCTTATGTATATCAGTGAGATTGTGTCTGCCTATGAGGCTGTGTGTCAGAGAGCTTATGTATATCAGTGAGATTGTGTCTGCCTATGAGGCTGTGTGTCAGTGA